GTGGTTTGAACATCTGCCTAATAAATCGGGTTGGGCCGAAGAGAGAACACTGACTGTAATACCAAAAATACAAAAAAGACCATTGCTAGGCAACGGGTAAATACGTTACAGCCATTGCTAGGCAACGGCCTTTATATTATTGTGTATGTATAGGGAAGGCCCACTCTAAAGGAAAGTAGGCGATTAGTTCTTCCCAGGACTTCTTGTATTCTAATGAAAGCAGGAAACTTATGAATCGTCGAATCAGATGCAATGGATATCAGGGTGAATACATAAAAAGGAAGAGATGTCTTTCCTTTATTAAAATCTGTAGTGCAGTTGCCAGCCGCGTTTGACTACACTTCGTACGTACATTGTGCAAATGTGAAAATAATACTAACTGGAGTTTGCTTACGGTTGTGTTTCACATCGTCTTGGAAGAACTGATTAAAAGGTATTCTTGCTCACATTTGACACTAATTGCCTCCCACAAGCTGACAGACTCATGTTTTCAGCATATGTAGACCTGTGTAATAGTACTGTAATAAGAAAATTAATGAAGTCAAATTTAGCTTGATTTGTGTTTGCAGCAGACCAGTAGGAACAAAAGCGTTATTCGTCCCGACACTTCGTGTGTAAAAACCCTCAGTACTGAACTTAATCAAAATCTGTTAGTTCAGAGAGTTCACATGCGGGAAAATCCCCCAATTATACAGTTATTTTCTTCATTTTATACTGAGAGCATAAAAGTGGAGTTAAGGGTACCAAAATTACCTACCTGGCTCAAAGTGGCTGCTAACATAATTGCGATATTTCTTCGTCGCCACACTTTGCATCTTACGGGGCCCCGGTCTGTGCTTGACGTAGGATTCATGAGGGGACCGTTCGCTCCAGAGCTGCCTGCAGACTTCGAGAGATCAGGTTGGCTTTCTGGGATAGGAGTGCGAGGAAGAAGTGGGCAAACTGGGAGGATGGAAGATTGAGGCTAAGACGTATTTAAGAGAGCCGCCGAACGAGAGAGCTCAGCCGTCTTCTGTAGCGTGGAAATCTCTTTCGTATAATACGAACACTTTTTTTTTTGGTTACATGAACCGCGTTAAAAATCTTTAAAGAAGGAACGAAGTTGCTGATGGCTCCACGAGCAGCTGCACTCCTTATTTAAAGATCTGCTGATGGAGGAAGCGTTCGTTGAAGTTTCGCTTTCCAAAGAGAGTGGAATACGTGGGAATATCAGGTCAGCACATTGTAACATTTGAGAACACTGAGGTTGAGGTGGAAGTTCACTTCCGTTAACAAGCTCTGTTAGTTGAATTTGAGATTTTCACGGCGTTGATTATGAACAGTGCCGTGTTCTAGGATAGATCTTGTGTGAACCGACGTTTCAGAGGAACGTGCTCGTCCGAAAGGCTGATTGACTATACCGGTTACGCCACAAGATAGGACTCCTCAGCAACTTGTCAGCAGTGGCATCTAGTACCTTTGTAGGCAGGTACCGACCTCCATGTCGCTCCGAAATCTCAATGCCACCACAGCCCAGAGGAACGTCAATGTGGACACTCACCGCAATCAGAACCTCAGAATTTTGTTCAGCCCTGGTCGTGGAACACACGCGAAGATTACTGGAGGCTTTCATTGTTGACAACATTAGACGAAGTTCCTCCCACCTGACTGTATAAGTGCATATTCATTTAAAGTGCAATTGAACTTGCTGTTAACCGCTACTTTATTTCTTACGAAATAATGAACCGAAAGCGTACATTACCCAGACTTTAATTTTTTTCCATGTAACCTTTTTCTGCTGTTATTGCATATGCATAAATATGTGGCGGGAATCGCTGCCTTTTGTTGGGATCAGTGGTAAAGACAGGTTCGTTCACCTGGAGTAAACTTATATTATTTTCATTGTTTCGTATGTATTTACGGCATTATATAACGAGGAACTTAGTGTTTATCTAATGTGAGGGTAATTTAGGAAGCATGGCGTGTAGCTGGGATACAAGAAACATATGCATAATTTTTTTTGGGGGTGGGGCGCAAGTCGCTGGGAAAACATTCACTGGGAAGATGGGAAATGAGATGGAAAGGTTGCGGACTGTAGGGAGCGGGGTTGCGAGAGGGTAAAGAATAGGCGGAAATGTCACATGATCGTGTCCTGTGGTTTTTGTGTTAGCGATGTTGAATATTGGGGGGTCTTCAGAATTACTGGGTTTTTGGACTTTGTGCAACGTCCGGTATTATAGAAACCACTTTTATAGAAAAAAGTAAAAAAAAAAAAAGAACACCCAGTAATTCTGAGTATTATGCACCATCGTGAGAACCCTTTAGAATCTGTTTGAGGTCTTCTCGTAGAAATCTTGTTTATTATAATTTCGTATAATGACGCGAACACCACGGCATCCAAAGATAGACGAATATTGGGAAGTTTAAAGTGGTCACTGATTTGGAAAGACGCATAGAAATATATCTATATCTGTTCGGTTGTTTGTCGGTACGGTAATCAGCTGCTGAGATAATGAAGCCTTGCAGGTTCAGTGAAGCTGACTGCAGCAGCAGTATAAAAAGAATAATAGGCCTATATAATTTCTCAGTCAGAATCAAGGAGGCGGTATGCTTAAATGCTTAATAGCGACGAATTCACAGGTGCGTGGAGAAGCGGTCATAGTCTGTTTAAGAACCTGTCTCATTCGCATGGAAGTATTTAAAAAATTATGTACAGATCTCAATGTGGAATTCCGTCCCAGGATTCGAACCGAAGCCCTTCCTCATAACGCATTCCTAGTATGGCAACTCGCTTGATGCTTTAATGATGCATATTTTTGATTTGATGAGTCATGCGGATGAGAGTGAAATTTCTGTAGGGAAAGACGGTCAGCCATATTCGAAAATACAGATGTTACCGTCGTTTTGCAAAATCTTGGTACTGGCTTTCTTATATCTGTTGTATTGAAGGTGCGAAGGAAACAAAAACGAAAGTGGTTTTTGAAAAATTATGTTGGTTCATGTAAAGGAGCGGTTATGTTCAATACGAAATAAAATTAATCCACCCGAAATATTTTATACTGCCGAGCCCCCAGAATGCCGAATTTAATCGAAATCCGATAAGTCATTTTGGTGAGAAATCACTCGGATAGATTGTTATACACGTGCAAACAAGTGCGCTTGAACTATTATAGTCCTACAGCATAGCAGTTCTGTGTGCGCACACTTTTAACGAGTACTACATTTACTTATTCATGGAGCTGAGCCCTTTTGGAGGAGCCGCCAATTCTGCAGCTACTCAATTTTTCAGCATTTTATGGAACCCGAAGGTTCATTACCGCGTTCGAGCCCTCCGCTGGTCCCTATCCTGAGCCAGATGAATCCAGTCAATACCATCCCATCCTGTTTTTCTAAGATCCACTCTAATATTGTCCACCCGCCTACGCCTTGGTCTCCCCAGTGGTCTCTTTCCTTCTGGCTTTCCCACCAATATCCTGTACGCATTCCCCGTCTCCCCCTTTCGTGCTACATGCCCTGCCCACCTCATCCTCCTTGACTTGATCATTCTAATTATACTTGGAGATGAGTACAAGTAATGAAGCTCCTCATTATGCAGTTTTCTTCAACCTCCTGTCACTTCATCTCTCTTTTGACCAAATATTCTCCTCAACACCCTGTTCTCAAATACTGTCAGTGTATGTTCCTCCCTTAATGTCCGAGACCGAGTTTCACACCCATACAGAACCACAGGCAAAATTATAGTTTTGTATATTCTAATTTTTATGTTTTTGGACAGCAGACGAGAAGACAAAAGGTTCTGGACTGAATGGTAGCAACCATTACCTGAGTTCATTCTCCTCTTTACTTGCTTCAATTAAAGTTTGTATGTTCTTCTTTATGGTATCTACATTATCACCCAGTAGATTCACATCATCGGCATAGGCCAACAGCTGATGTGTTCCGTTTAATTTCAGTCCCACCTGGTTTCCCTGGACCTTCCTAATGGCATATTGTAAAGCAAAACTGAAAAGGAGTGGCGATAAAGCATCTCCTTGTTTTAGACCATTCTGGACAGGAAATTTACCAGACAGATGTTTACCTACACGACGAGTACTCCATGCAATATGGAAATGTTGAAAAGAAGGAAGAACTATTTGCATTGCTAGCGGGAAGGTATAGCCCACAAGTGGAAACTTATCTGTTTTGTTTGGACAAATTGGTATAATGGGTATTGGTTTGGCATGATTCATTACCGTACATACCGCCTCCAGGTTCTTAGGAGTAGGGCAAATGTAATTTCACAGGCATTTCCTTGATTATATTTAATTTCACTCGATAACGCACACTTCTCTCGAGTTGACTTTCAATATTTGCTGTGCTACGCCGTAAGCATGGCAGAGTTTGCCCCGAAAGAGGCTTTATACTTCTAGGATTTCCTGGGTGTGTTGGTGTGAACTGAATTCCACTAGCTCGGAATGCGGTCAACTGGCGGGACTTTGTGAAGGTAATGGACCTTCGGGTTCCAGTGAAGCAGGGATGACCGACTGGCTTCATGCAGCTGAGCCCTTCTTTAGAAGCTGCCAATTGTGCAGCTATTTAGGAACTCCCCAACATTTTGTGGAATCCGAAGGTTCGTTGCCGTGTTCACAAGAGCCCTCCACTGGCCCCCTCCTGAGCCAGATCAATCCATGCCATACCACCCCATCCTGTGTCTGCAAGATCCACTTTAATATTGACTCACCTATGTCTTGGTCCTCCCAGTGGTCTCGTTCCATCTGGATTTCCCACCAATATCCTATATGCATTCCTCTTCTCCCCCATTCTTGCCACATGCCCTGCCCATCTAATCCTTGGCTTGACGGCGGTGGTTGTGGTGGTGATGTCGACTTAGCGGGTTCAGGGAAGAAATGTCAGTCGTTGAATGAGTTCCTTCACATCCATTTTTGAAGACTTAAGGAGCTTTATGACTTTACGCCGTTTGACAAACACTTAGGCATGTTTGTGATTTTTCAGGTTTTAATTTTCCGTCATATGCATTGCAGGTAAAATGACTAATGGTCCAAGGAGGTAACTCGGCGCATTGCCAGTAAGACTTCAAATTAGAGGGTGCTTGGATCAAATACCGGGGTCTGCTCTTCGTATATATCGTCAGCCTCTCCAGGTAAACGGTAACTGTAACTTCACTTTGTTTTACAGCTAGAATGTTACGTTCCAAAGCGAACAAGTACTTGGTCTGCTGTTGGGGACGGGTTTGTGGTCAAGTAATTCTATCTGTATGCCGCACCCTCATGTCCAGTGGGGATTAAAGCGGCCAGACTGTGAAGCTGAATGAATACCTCCATATTTTGAAGACAGAAGTTCATTGAACTGTAGTTCCACTTCCTCTGCCTGAAATAGCTCATTTGATAAGCTCCTAGGCTGTGGGCTGGTCGACTGAGGAGTTGGGAGTTGCTTTTCTCCACTCTACAGTGTCCATTTCAGGTCTGGGGTCCACCCAGTTCCATGTACAGGGAGTATTGGGAGCTTCACCCCCGCGTGGGTAAAGTGACCGACACGTGACGCTTACTACTCACTCCCCATCTGTTGCCGAGGTTAAGAATGTATGGAGCCATATCACCAGTCCCTCGTACGTCATCATTATGTGGTGCCTAGGCACGGGACCCACTTTACGTCTTCACGTATGTGGTGGTTTATTATTGTGGGAACAATATGAGGAAATAATTTCGGCATGATATCAATAACCGTTTTGAGCGAACTCTCACTCCGGTATTTACGATATACACAGCAGCTACTGCTTTACCTGCACTGATAAAAATCTGTATTCTTCAGACTCATGCTGGGCATACTCGGAATTATGAACAAATTGTGGCTGGTATCATACTACTTTTTCTTTTTAAATTATACTTATGGCGCGTTGCGCATGATTGATAAACAAAAATGGAAAGTGATGACTTACAGCTGTGTGTGTTAGTGCACTTTTGCAGAACGGACATTACACGCCGTATCCATTTTATGACCGTGTTGGGTTCTGTGTTGTCCACTAGCAGAACTGGCAGTTAACGAAAACGAAATTCATCATCATCGCTGGAATCGTGATTGCACATAGAGAATTCCGCGAGAGCGGCGACACTGCCATCTGTAAAGCTCGGAGCAATACAGTCTTGAAATATTCGGTTTTGGTGGAGATACAAATTTTGGAGTAGTCCGTAATGTACGTGTACTGCATGTTTACAACTGACAGGAGGCAGTCTGGTGGTGTCAGTGGCGGCTCGACTGTGCAGGAGAACCAAGCGGCCTCCTGGGGCGGCACGACTTTAAACCCAACTCCCGGCTTTATGTTAAATGAAAATTATTTTCTGGGTACCTATGGTCGTGTCGGAGCTTTGTCAGTATTATAAAACTTTGCTCAACAGTGAAAGTAGAGCTGTTTTAAGATAATTGTGACGAAGTTTGAGAACTGATTTTTTTTTTAGCCGGGGTGGGGGGAGGTTGTCCTGTGGGGCGGAGTTGCCCGTGTAACGGGCAACAGTTCGGTATTATTCGTTTCTTAATACCCTGAATGAGAACACCTGAGTTTAGGGCACGACAGAATCAGTGAGCAATGGCTTGTTGTATTTATGTTCTTTGTTATATCTACCTGTAACCCAGGGGTTCTTCGAAATAACTTCACCCGGCTTCGAAGAGCGAAACTCTTTTCTACATAATATTTAAAAATCCAAGTCTTATCTCACAGGAAAGTTCGTAAACAATTCTGACACCAGTGTAACGTGTTTTGCCACTGAAGACGCCGTTCGGATTGTTAATTAGTTTATTTAACAACCTACAAGTCTTGGCTACAATTAGTTATAACATTGTTACGGGTTTACACACTTTACAAACCCTACGCACTAATCTGTTCACACTGTCCTCAGTAATCTTCACGTATTCACAGCACAATACGGGAGCTATACCAGTGTCACTGTATTACACACTCCCAATAGCTTCTCAGGCTATCACTTCTAATCACACGTCCGGTATTCTTCTTTTCGCGTTCACGATTCGCTAGGCACAGAGTCAAAGTCACATTGCGACTGACGGTCAGTCAGTCTGTCTGTCTTGGTGTCGAGCCCCGATTTTTTCTATATATGAAAGTTACTGTCCTGTTCATTTGGGGCGCCCTCTCTGACGAGAGGTCGGATCTGTCATTTGTCAATCATAGTCTGTGTTAGTAAGTCCATTGTCAGTATTTACATATATTTACAATTTAATCTTAATTCCTATTTCTATGTACAATATATACAAGGCCTCTGTCAATCCAGGATAGTGTTCGCTGCTCCTTATTTAGCCCCGTTACGGACAACACAGGAAACAGTTACGTAATAGGCACCACTGTTGCGTAACGTCGTGTTTACCGACTGCCTAGGAACAGTCGTTGCATGGACTCCCCGCCGTGTTTAAAAGGCGTTGCTGGGCAGCGCTGCCGGGAGTTGTTTACGGCTACGTAGCAACTGCGGCGTCCCGTGTTACGTCACCGAGGGGAAAGGGGTGTCTACTGAGCGTTGCACACTGATGGACGGAGTGAGGGTATGTGACGTCACTTGCGAGATCACAGAGTTCACGCCATGCCATCCATGTCACAGTATTAACGAGTGTAAAGTTAAAAACATCGGTTCAGCAGCCAGTTTAGTCTTTACTAACGTCAGTATATTGCGCACTCCACGTGTTAACTACATTCTGTTTTACATCTGGTTTTATCCATAGGCGGTGCTTGTTCGACGATAAATATCCGAAATGTGTTGTATTTGACAGTTGAGATTCGAATGTTCATCAAAGAATATGTTATTGTATGAGGTAGTAATAGTTTGTATGGTTGTGAAACATAGTTCTGTCATAGACCGACGGTGTTTGACGCAAGAGATAGGAATCAAGCCAATCCAATCAAGGATCAAAAGAATTTAGTTAATTGACAAGCCGAGGAGGATGAAACACGATACACGTGGGGCGCATGGAAGATACGATAGATGTATACAGAAGTTTGGGCGATAGACTTGAAGACGAAGTGCTAGATGTGAGTGGGTGATGCTATTAAAATGGAACTTATCGAATGAGGGTATGAGGATATGGCGTGGATTCAAGTGGCTCAGGACAAGGGATATGGCGGGCTGTTGAGAGCACGGCAACCAACGTTTGGATACTATGTAAAAAAGGTAAAGTCCCTGTGCTTAACTAATTAAGCACTACGTCATGAAGACGTATGGGGGAGTGGATGAATAGATCCACATTTTCTTGACCTCGAGACTAGCTGGAGGTGAATGGTCAGCTTCACGCCTCGACAGCTTAACCCCCAGGGAAACAGCTCCTTGTTCCCATTGAATAGGAGGTGGGTGAACCCCAGAGCCGGATTGCACGACGTGGAGAAGAGAACATTCTTGACTACCGGGACTCGAACTTCGATCCCTCTGTCGTCCCACCCTTAGCCAGTCGCTATACCGACTACGCTATCCCTGTCTTGACCAGCTGAGCGAGCATTAGCTTCTTACAGAGGAGTCTGATTTGGTTTAGTAAGGAACTAGGAATGCTGTAGGCCGGTAGGCTTTTACCTAGGATAACAGAAAAGCAATGCGACTTGTAGACCTCCATACACAAGTTCCATCGGGTATGTTGTACGCTTAATTACAGTGTTTGTTTTACGTGAGTATAGCTGCTTTATCTAGGCTTTTGTGTACCTTGTCATTTCTGTGTTTTGTGATTGTATCTGCGAACTTTATGTCATGTTTTATTTCCTGTTGACATTAGGTGAGCGAATTTCAGTATTGCTCTAAATGCATTTTAACTTTTTGGCGGGCCGCGCCACAGCTCAAGCGGTTACTCGCTGGCTTCCCGGGTTCGATCCCCGATCTGGTCAAGTGGGATTTGTGGTGGACAAGGTGGCGCTGGGGCAGGTTTTCTCCTAGTACTTCGGTTTTCCCTGCCAATCTTCATTCCACCAATTGCTCCACAATCACCTTCACCTATCTGGGGCTGGTACAGTAGGCCAGAAGTGGCCGCAGCACAAGGGACTTAGTCCCACCCCACTAGCATTAATAAAAAAAACTCCTTTGGGGCAGTCACCTCCATTTGTGCCGAGGTTAGGAATTCATGGAGAGTATTAATGGGTTGTTTTATGACACGTTCAGTGTCGCATGTTACTCGTATATACTCATAAATTGCCCCAGAAATGACTGAGAAACATTTTATATAGAGATTGTTCGGAAATGCTTAGGTAACGAACTAGAGGCATTCTCGACATCAGTAGGACAGGGCAACTTCAGTTCGGGAAGCACCGTGCCAGGGACACTTTAGAAGGAAAGAAGAAAAGTTGAGACTTGACGAAGACGTGAATGGCTACATTTTCTTTTTATCGTTACCACCGTCACTATGCAACAGCGAAACACACAGACATGTTTACATTGGTAGTGAGTTTGCCAATAGCATGTGACATTTGGCTTTCATTTGCAGTGAACTGTACTTAACAGTCAAGTGCTGAACTTTTAGTGTCAGAGTGGCTTTAAGTGTATACTGAAAGTGGGCAGAATATGCAGAAATGCATGAAGCTTGTGGTAATGGTGCACCAGTTACAGATGTGACCTCATCATAGGCTTCCGGACCTGCATTCATAATTCATTTGCTCTTATCGAATGCCAACCAGCAGCACATATCTACCCTGTCACCGTGTTCTAATTCACGAATTTGTTTCTTGTGACGCTCCAACGCAACAATAAGACAAGTTACTGACAAGGATTGACCCTTTCAGTGGACTCGAAGTTATGATAGACTGATCATGTGATCTGGATGGGTACAAAGAACGCATACTTAAGTTTGGCGGAGAAACCGTTTGGAAAGCGGCCATTGGGAACAATGGGTGGCAGACGGAGTTTTCTTCTTACAGGAGGTTGCTTGCAACATGGAAATGGTTGGAACTGGCTCAGGATTGTGTCCATTGGTGAGTTATTGTAACGGTGCTGAATCTCTGGGCTCTGCTGCCAGAATGTTGCTTTTCGATGTTGAATTTCCAGCCTCGCGGAACTTTATTTTTTAACTGTCCTTGTAAAAAAAATGGATAGGCGTATGAGGGCATTACACTGTCTGCATGTGCCCCCACACCGTTTTAACAATTGTACCACTTGAACGATTTTACCAAAA